TGGAGTATTGCTAGTTTTCTCTTATACAGTACAAGTGCACAGATACGATTTTAAGAGCCTGTCTGTGTACTAATTGCTTCTGCTGTTCATGCCAGGGTTAGTGGTTGCATCCATTTCTATGAGTTCCATCTCATTGAATAGTAGGCTATTCTAAAAATGGCCCTATAATCAAAACTCCATGGTACACATGCAACTTAACTGTGCTTTGATAATTTGGATTCTTCTTCTTTTTTTTCCATTTCATCTATTTCATTTGTTAAGATCCTGATTAAGCTAAATCAGTGGATCATTTTCTGGGGTCCAGTTGCTCAGTAGGTTGATAAAAGATAAATTGTTTAGGTTGTTTATCAAGCAAACATTTGAAATATGCTTCCTGCATCTCACACACCAGGATCTGATGCTTTTCTCCATTTTTTTGTAGAATTGATCAGATGAAAATATAATGAACAGATCAACTGATATTGAGTTCTTACTCGTTTCTAGGTGATAAAAATGGTGGAAAGCTGATTGTCTAGGTTGGCTTGAAATAACTTTGTAATTCGAAACAGTCTTTGCATTATGTTCTTCATCCCTTTCCATTTCCATTATTTTCCCCTCTTCCTTTACAATTGCTTTTGAATCTCTGCAATACAGACATTTTTCTAGACAGCGAACACGTTTATTACCCACAATTGAAACATGTTGGTCATTTATGAAACTAAACTAATTAGTACTTTGGTAAGGATACCTTTAAGGTTCTCTTTTTCTATATGGACACATGATTATTACCTAAAAGGGGCTTTAAAATATAAATCTGATGCTCATCCATATTCTTCTTGGAGTCAACAAATACCAAACAATAAACAGATCCCACTAACTAAATATTGTCTTTTTCCAAAGCCCGATGAATCTTAGTCCTCTGTGTCCTAGATCTCCATTGTTGTCATAGTTACACTGTATCCCTTTTTAAAAATATAAAGCAATCTGCTTCTGATGTAACTCTTTATTAGGAACCTATTGTCTTTGGGCTGAGCAACGGGACATGGAAGAAAAATTAACTGTTGTTTTCATGACATTTATGGACAGTAAGACAAATATAGACTAACTTCAGCCGCATCCTTTTACTGGACCAATTTATTCCCAGTTCAAATGCAATTATACTAAAGCAACATATACGTAGCACTGGCAGAGCTAAATTCGAATCCTCTCTTTTTCTTTGTGATTACAAGGTCAATAACGTAGGTAATGTAACATACTTGTGAAAATGAACTGACCACAAGGTGAACTTAGTTGCTATTCTGGAGTTGTACTCCTATCAAAACATTTTTCTAAAGCAGGTTATGTTTGCCCAGTTGTCATGGAGATTAGTTTAAACAGTGCTTTAAGTCCAACAATGATACCTTGCTGTGGAAATTACATACTTTCACATTTACTGCAAAGATTATTTTGACATTGAAGAAGAAGTTCATTTTGTATGTCATTAAAAGCTGTCAATGATAATTATAAGATTAAGGGAAAAATAAACTCTTTTTCAGTTTTTTATAATACGTGTACATGTTTTTAAACTATTTTATCTGATGAATTTTGCGAGTACAGGTTGGAGGTCACCACCTCCTGTCCTTCAGTGTGTCTGTGTAGGTCCATTCATTCCCCCCTGATCTGAACGCTCAAGAGCATTCTCACTCCTGAACATAGTGTTCAGTAGCAGAGAAGAAAGGAAAGAAGTTGAAATGAGGAATGGAGATTTTGAAAAATTGTAAGATAGATGAGTGGATTAGAGAAGAAACGAACAGATGATATAGTGGAGCTGATAGGAGAGGAGAATATGAGAGTGGGAGAGGAAACCATAGGATGAGATGAGACGACAGGAGCAGGGAGCCATATTGATCACCCTGCTCTGTGAGTCTCTCAGTGGTTTTAATGGTTTGAGTTTCACAGCTGGACTGAACTCTGCAGTGCCTAGAGCCGATAACATGCTCTCATACACACACACACACACACACACACACACATGCACCACATAAACAGTCCACGCCAGCTGGATGTGGGTCAATGTTCCCTAGCTTTCTGTCAGTTTAGCTCATTGCATCGTTCCACATGGACTTCAGGAACTGTACTGCAGGTTCAGTGGGACCAGTGGTCATCCTGAAACTACCCTCCACCCTGCTGCTATCCAGCCTCTTAACCCAAGCTTGGCTGAGTCTGATTGATTTCTGACTGTGGAAATGAAAGCAAATTGAAGCTGTGTTGTTTTTATGATTTTATGACCATAGAAAACCTCATTTGATTAAACATGAGCAGGTTCAGTTGGTGAAACTGTCAACTTCATCTTCAAGTTAAATAAAAAGAAATGATATTGTATTTATCTTTATACCAAAGCATTTACTGTGGTCACACTTAAACTCCACTTGATAAAAACTATGACTGATAAAATGTTGATATTTATTAAGTTGTGGTCGAGCAGCTCCGGCTGCAGCAGGTGGAGATGAGGTTGATACTGCTCTTATCTGATTGGAGAAGTGAGGTAAACAGAGTCACTGTCAATCAAAGAAAGAAAAGTGCAGTATGTTCAATGTCAGGTTCAAATTCAGGTTTTTAAACACAAACCACAAGCAAAAAAAGATGTTGACTGATTGATTATTGCTCTTCTTTCATCTCTGATACGTTTCTAGTTAGGTAGGCCGATATTTGTATCAGTTCATATATTTTCACTATAATGGCAGTGGAGCTCAATGGTTGATGGTATTGATAGGTGAAGCAGTCGATCAATAATCTTGATCCAGATTAGAATATGATTTTGTGATTCCTCCAACTTTTTTGGGGGGCAAACATAAGGTTTAAGCCCGGTAGGATGAATTGTAGTATCTCTGTTGATCATCAAGGACCATCATTTGCTCAAATGTAATGTTGGCCAACACTAGCAATATTAGCATAATAAACATTACTTGATAATTAACCCAAAGCACCATTGTGCTTCAGTACAGCCCCACAGGGCAGCTAGGCTGGCTGTAGACTTCCAATCTACAGCTTTAATCGATCTAGTTATTTGTTACAGTTCACCTCTAGATCATTTTGTGGTGTGTGATTATTTTTATATATCTGCAGAATATGGGTTCATTCATGTTTTGTTTTCAGTAACAAACTGAATCTTGTGCTAATCCCATCTGAGCAAATGTATTTCAGAAACAATTGATTTTCCTCAACAAAATTCATCATCCCAACTTCTGTGACTTTAATATATCCAGTGAAATAATAATCATACTCTTCTTTTAGGCTCACAGATTATTTGCATGATCCACCCCTCAAAGAAATAGTGGAACATCTTGCAAACACTCACAGAAATGAAACACAAACTGTCAGTCTGGAGCTGGTGTTTAATTAATACACTTTAAATACATATGTCTACGAGTTGTATGGTTTACATCTGCATCTGAAAAACAAGTACAAAATCCTCAGTATATCTGATTAGCTGTTTTCTCTGATTCTGTGTGGGAGAAGAAGTAGTCAGGGTCAAGCCTCTCCTGTAATCAGCATCTGATCATGGCCAGGAGTCACCTTGGTGGATATTATCTCTCTTGACAGGCATAATTTATAACTAATAAGGCTTCAACAAGTTTATTGACTTCACAGAGAAGGTCAGTCATTTACCATATAACGCCCATGAGCATACTATTAGTGCTCCGGTACTCAATATGTTCTGTTGAGACAATCTCACTAACAAGGCACTGTATATCACCAAGCATTATTGATCACTTTGAAATCAGGTCTGCATGTACCGAAGCTCTATTCATACTGTATCATGTTGGATTCAAAGCTTTTGTGTGTCTCTGGATTGTCTTGCAGGGATTCCAAGGTGTTAATTGATGATTGTCATTTCATGGGAGAGCACACAACCTCAGTAAAGTCCTCTTGGTTTTATACCGTAACTGTAGACCTCTAGTAGATCAGGCCCTAAGAGTTCCTTGATCCCTCAGTCGCATCCTCCCAACAAAATAAATAATGCATTAAAAGAATTTAAATTGGGACAACAGAGTTTTAAAAGGTTTCAATTTGTACTAAAGTTTCTGTTATTAAATGATGGAGATGTGTTTTACTGTTCTTTAAAGTAGAACCTGACAAATCTACCAGTACAAGAGAATTATTATTTGAAGGCTGGGAAATGAAAATTTAAGTAAAAGAGACATTGGGAGTTTTCTTACAAGTATGAACAGAATTTACAAGTAGTCCAGACCTGTCATATGAGTCATGTTCGATTTGTCTGCTGTTATTCAGATCAAATCTCTCTCTAATGGTTTATTTCATTAATAATTGTATGTCTAAAAAACTTAAACAACTCATCTCTCTTCTGTCTTAGGAATCACTGCATCTGTGGGACATGCACTGATTTGAAAGAGTATAATTGGTTGGGTTTGATGCTGCTGTTAATATATTTCACCTCATTACACAACACTCCCAACTCTGCTGCTCTTAAATGATACATTTGGCAGCACAGCTAATGAAGCCACCTTTAGGATGAAGAGTGAACTCGTCAGCAGCCATTAGCGGAGCGTTCAGCTATTAAAGAGGTGTTTGCAATTAAAGTTTTATTAAGTTCCATGCCCAAATTTTGTGTGTGTTGAAGATTAAAGGTTAATTATTTAGTTATTTACATAGTAGGTCACAAAGAACAGTCCCATAAAATTCTAACAGCAAATGGTAAACACATCAAAAATAGGAGTTAACAGACAGAATAACCAAGAGGCAGATTCTCTTCTTGTTGTTTTTCATGTGTAGCTACAGTTTGTTGTGATATGAAAAAGCCTCTGGGGTTGCAGGGCTGCTTAATAGTGGTCAACAAGTTCACCTCTCTCCATTTCTGAGATAATCCGTACTATGACCTTTCCATTGTGGTCAGTTAATGGTGGAAATGTGTGCACAAAGTATAGAAGGTCCTTGTGCCTAAGAGCATCTCAAAGGTCACAGGAAGTGAAATGAGTTCAAATGTTCTAATCACCATGTTTTTCTCTTTTTTTGTCTCTTAGAACCTGCAGGTCAACCATGGATGAAGAGTGGGAGGAAAAGGGTAAAGCAGACGAAGGCTTTTACTGTGGCACTAAGAGCAGCAATTGTTGCATTCTTGTTTTGACTTACGAGAGAGTTGATTTGCTTTTGGCATGCCTTGATTTTAATACGTTCATATTATGCTATTTATCTGCGGTATAATCCGTTAACGTTGCTCCACTATTCTGCACTGCTACATTTTACAGGGAAGCTTTTGAAAAGAAGTTTGTGTATTTAGTTCATGGTCTGAGTCAGCACACTTTCTGTTTAGCCAGAGAGGTGTAAAGATAGTCAGGGTCACTCCTCCGTCAGCTGAATAGGATTAGGTTCACGTCCAAACCTGCTTTTTGTACACGAGAACGCAGTAAAGGCCGAAGCTGAAGCGGGCACATGGGGATCGTCCTTGCTCTGATCTCTGAAAGAACTGATTGAGTTGATTTGCTTTCAAGGTTTTCAGTTTGTTTAGTTTTTTTACAACATAGGAACAAGCTCAGGTAACCCTGGCCATGACTTTAATTCATCCGACCTGTGATGTATTATATGATTTTATTAAACCATTCATACCTGGTCTCATGAACTCTCTGAAGTTTGTTTTATTGAAGCTAACACTTGATTAGTTTATATGTATATGTTAAATTCAGATTTAATGCTCTGCACATTTGTTTTCAACTAAGTGATTAATCATTCCTCAAAAGTCAGACTCAATTTTAATGTGAAATGGTGGCAATGGAAACTTTACTGCAGCTGTTTGCAGTCAAATTTGCCCTTAACAAATGAAAAAATAAACAAGAATAGCACTGACTAGAGAACATATCGCAGACAAGAACCAATATTCCCCTAAATTCAATCAGGCTGCACCAAATTTATCACACTCATTGATATCAGTCTGCTACTTATGCCTGGTTAGTTTCATCAAGAGCTATGAATTATTCCCTGGTAATCAGTGAAAATATGAAAATAAGGCCCCATCTTACGATATTAAAGACAGAGAATACAACATTCTGGATCTGCCCCCAACATGAAAGTGGTTCTTCATGGCCCATGCCCCATCCTTTTACCGGTCAGAAGTTGAAACATTTCAATTCAATTATAGTTCCACATTACAACATACATTATCTTAAGACTCATTCCATAGGGATGTGGAGACCTAACAGTATTATACAGAAACCCAACAAGTCCCACAGTGTGAAAGCACTCGGCAACTGTTGAGAAAAAAACCTTTGAACCGGAAAAAATCAGTATGAGCAGCCCTCTGCCTCGACAGGTTGTCTGTGAGTTTGTTAACAAACTAAAACTACTTGACAGAGGTTATAAACCTTATACTGCTGTGAGGAAAAGTGACCGACAGAGGGACAACACAAGGACTGACAAAAGGTAAGTCGCTGATAATGGAGACCCTGTAATACACAAGTGGTTCATTTAGGATTTTGTTAATCCAAAAAATGCATTGAGGGGACTTGTAGAGCATCTTGTATCAAAAACCTTTTAACAGCAAAATGAACACACACACATTAAACGAAGGTAAACCTTTTAAAAAGGGGGTTGAATCATTTCAGATTCCATTAGATGAGCTTCAGTTTATATAATTGTGTGTAACATTAAATGTATAGGAGGTTTAGTCCCTGGCCTTCATATTGCTTTCTACCGTTTCCTTTGTTGCTTTAACATATCTTTTACTTCAGCCTCTTCAAACTCAGACCCAAACACAGATTGAATGATGTAGCGGCACTTGAACGGAAACAGTCAAGCCTTCACTGCCTCCATAATAATTATGGTTGATGATGGAGACCCGAGCACTGGCGCAGGAAAAGAGGTGGAAGGTAGCGTGGCGACTCTGTTGTCAAGTTATTTATAACAGCTGGAACAGATTAATGCCTGTGACTAGTGAGCAGGCATTTGAAGACTGATTTCAACCATTCCCACTGAAGACAAAAGACAGATGTTCATGGGTGTTAGTGGGTTTTTTGTCCTGTGTGAAATGTGTAGTAGAGTCTTAATTGGTTTCTATACAAATGTGGAGTGGAGTGCGGCGAGTGGAGATTAGGGCTCGCTCGCTCGCTCTGTGTGCGTCTAGCCAGGCATTGCGCACCGGCGCACCAGTTAAGATAGATATATGATATTTTATTGCAGGCCCGATATAATTGTACCACGGGCCTTGAGTTTGACATCTCTGCTTTAAGGCTTGCAGATGAAAAGGACGGCAATATGTTGTGATTAAAAGAGCTCCAATCAAACTATAGTTTTGTCTCTTCATATTATTTTGAAATATTTTGAGTTTTCTCTGCATTTTCAACTCAGGTTTTAGGCACAATTTGAAAATGTGTATTACAACTGGTGGATAGAAATGCTCATGTTTTGGCCCCTGAATGAAGAAGTACACTAATGAGACACAAAAGAAATATTGATTATTAAGGAAATTGCTGGTGTCTTGTGAATGTGTTCATAAATAAAAATGTGTGTAATACTGTGTACTGTATGTGTGCCAATGCTTTTCAAGAAAGATAACAAGTCACTAAACTGTGATGTTTAAACTCACCCAAGCCATGAAGACCAATTGATACCATGTTCTCAGATGTTCGAGGAGGGTTGAGTTCGGAACAACTGGACTTAAGTGGACTCTCCTTTTCATGGTGGGTGGTCCTAGGTGTTTAAGGGGTCAAGGCTCTCGTAAAAATGTGACAGGTTTCACAGTAACTTTGAATTCAACACTTGTGTCTAGATCTGGTGTTAAAATCTGACTTGTATGATCCAACTACAAGTGGACAGCTCTATAAGTACACCAGTTCACACCTGGTGTTCACATTAAAAGCTTTCAGCTAGTGAAACTGAAAATTGACTTTACTGTGAAGCATCCTCAGGGAATGCAATGCATTTGTTGTCCATGGTTAAGGCTGACCATGATCTTTGATACATGCTTCTGCTAAACAACACGAGTAATGGAACTGTCAGATGAAGAAGTGGTGACACATACAACCTCTCAACACAACAATATTCTACAACATATTCTAGTTCCAAATTGAAGAACCAGAGCCCCTTTAAAGCAGTCACTTTGTATTCAAAGTCATAATCAAAAAAAATATTTTAATTTTCAGCAGTTAGAAAAAGTGAAACTAAGCCCTGATGTCCTTGATGGCCTCAGCTAAAATTTAGTGGGAAAATAGTTGTAGCTCTCACATTTTTTAACATTTCTGATAGGGGGAGATTAAATAGGTGCTTTTCTTTTTTTATCTTTTAAAAAGCTGTATTTCCTGGCAGCAGTGGGACAAGTCCCCCATCAGCAGCACTGAGGTTTACCCAGGTGTGCCATAATGTACTTGATCGACTTAAATGTTACAAGTTTGACTCAAGTGGCTACATTTTGTCTGCTCGAGCTAATTCTTCCTGAGCTGTGGCTTTAGATTCTTCGGCGAGGATCTGGTAATTGGCTTTGAGCGTTGAGTTAGGCTGGAAACGCTCTGCTGCTGCCGTGCGCGTCACTGTTCAGCAGTTGCACACACACAAACATACATTTGGGCACTTGCGGCCAATCTTAATAAAAGAAATGACACGGGTGGAGGAGGGAGGCTGCGAGATTCGGTCACGCAGATGTTGCCACGGCAACAGCGGTAAGCGAGGACGAGGGGCTGCAGGCAGCAGGTTAGAGAAGAGAAGTGAGGAAGACGACATTTGGCGCATTCAAATGCGTCCGTGCTTTCTCCCTGTTGATCTCGTGTCATACCCAATTACCACTGCAGCGAGGGGAAGCAGGGAGCGCAGAGAGGGGGGGGGGGGGGGCTCGGATGGGGGTTGTACTGAGAATACAAACAGAGAAAGAGGAGTATTCTGGTCTCTGCTTGAACCCTACAGAGAGATGGTGCACACGCATGTGCCGGGGTGGACACCCACGCCTGTCATGACAGCTTCAAGATAACATGCACATGACAGGTGTAATTTTCAGTGTGTTTGTGTGTGTGTTTGCGTGTGTATAGGGTTTTCATTGCACAGTAAAATTGAAGTTGCACAGGTCAAAGATGCTCCAGATCCTTGTTCTGTAAAACTATGGATCTCATAATGGTGGTTTGAGAAGAGATGAACCATGAGCTGGAGACAGGGTTGTGGAGTATGTTCCAGAAGAAGTCTAGAAGTCTAATCTACAGCAGCCACACAGTAGTCTTGTTTTGTTCATGTTTTGACAGGTTGAAAATGTTTTGATAGGACGTAGAGGACCAACAGAATTTGAACTCATGTCGACTGTTGGTTTAAGGCTGTTATTATTACAGGCGTACAGTTTTGTGCAGTTTTATCTGATAGATCTGCAATGAATTCAATGACCACAACTGGCCTTGGCTCAGCAGGTAGAGCGGGCTGGTGGTTCGAACTGCCGGCTCCCCCTGCCAACAAGTTCAGATGTCCTTCAGCGAGACACTGAACTCAAAATGTCCCCTGATAGTTATGCAAAGGGAATAATGAACAAAACAGGAAAGTAACAGTTTAAAACTGTGTGTTGAAATACTGAATCAGAATTCTCCATGCTATGCTCACATGCCATATAACACAGTCTGTATAACCACACCACCACAGACAGGGGTCTGCACTCAGAGTCATGATCTCATTTATAATGTTTGCAATGTAAACCTACAATTGAAGCAGTGTAAGAACAGACGCTGGAATATGTTGATGTCTATTTGGAAACAAGATAATTGTTTGTTCTCACACACAAAGATGTAACATATGAACACACAGTTCTACACACCCACCACAGGGGAAATCAATCACTTAGCCCCTTATCTCTGCCCTCCATCGGATTATCAGAAATACTGACATCCATGAGCCCGACACTCCATCGGCACAACATCTGTATGTGTGTTACTGTGTGTCTGTGTGTGTGTGTGTGTGTGTGTGTGCACTCAGTGGTCTCTAGAGGACTCCCTCAGACAGCGCTCCTCTGATTAAAGACTTCCACCTCTAATGCCATTAGAGGGATGAGAGAAGAACAGAAAGTGAATGAGGGGATGAGGCAAGAGAGGAGAAACAGCAGAGGGAGAGAATGGTCTTCTTAACCTCTGCTTCCTCACGGAGCAGGCGAACGTGCTATGAGAGAACAATTTAATCCTACTGTAGTAGCCCGGATTAGTCCGCCCATTTATCACTGCCTTGCTCTTTTCTCAGGGCTGCACTGTCATTTTCCCTCCACTCTCCATCCATTTCTTCATCCCCTCTTTCTCTCAGTAATGTGTCTGGCACTGAGTGGCTTAATGCTGTTTAATGTGGTGACATCCCTTTATCTGCCTATTGTCATTACTCTTTCTCAGGCCCACTGGGCCCCAATGGGCTCCTATAGTGAGGACTGTATGGAGCTAAAATGGCATCGTGTATTTATGTGTGTATGTAACGATATGGGGCTTTGCATTTATTTTTATCTAATATTAATTTAACTTTATTTGTTGTTGATGTAGATTAAGTTAAAAAAACAACCTTCAGTGTTCATAGAAGCAACAGTGCACAAGATTAAGTTGGAGATCTAAAGTTGTGTATGAAATGTAACTATCATTATATCATTAATGTTGGCGGGACAAATAAAGTATAGTA